ATTATAAAAAATGACATCTGGGATAAACAGTTTAAATAACTTTTAAACTAATTGACGAATGGAGCTGAAATTTTGTGGGTTTCTTAAGCACTATAAGACTCTCCTTTGAGAGCAATCACCAAAGTGTAAGTTAATTTTTACAAAAGTTATCAACAATTAACGATTTATTTTGCTCGTTTTGAAACAAATCAATTTAAAAAATTTCGTAACACGCAATTTTAAATATTTTTCTATATATCTTAATAGTTAAATGTTTGTATAAATTATAAATAGATACCTTTGCGAAATTTAAAAAATGCGCATTTTCCGCATTAAATTAACTTAAAAAACTGGAGTAATTGTAGTTTACACTTTGTGTAACAAGAACTGAAAGTGTAGATTTTGTAGAAGGGTCAGAATGTGGAAAAACAGTAGAAGTGTGCAAACTGGATTGCTGTACATCATCTAGATTTCGCATATATAAATAAAATAATTACTTATATAAAAAATGGTTAAATAAGAAGAGGTAATCGCCTACACATCGTTGACACAATTTTAAAATTTCCGAATCAGGTCTGTTGTGTCTTTTATCAGAGACAATAGAGTCCAAGTTTATTCTTTACCTGCATAACCTGTTACTAGAATCTTCGATAAGGTTTAAAAGTAGAAACATTCATAAAAATATTTTAAGATATTCTTAGAATAAACAGTTCTGATTGTTATTATCTCGAGAGGCAGTAATCTCTCTAGGTAATGTAGACAATATAAATCGAGATCAAAGACCTTATAAATTTAGACCAGAAAATAATGGAAGAAACTTATTCCGATGTATATACATTATCTCAACTGTTATTGTGTAGTGGTGATATGAATCTTTTGTTTATTTGCTTTCAGAGTCTTGTTTCTTTCGATGTCTTATGGGGCAATGGACATTACGAATGCCAGTTTTTTTTTCAAGTTTATTTGTTGTTGGGTGATTTAGTATTATTCTTCCGTCGATGTTTAAAATGTGTTCAAGTTTAAAAAAAGTCACAAAATAATGATGGAAGATTGAGTATTTATAGCTTTGAGGTCAGTGAAAATAATTGTGTATTTTATTTAGTAAACTATATTATACAGTTTTGACTAAGTTAAGAGTAATTTGAATTATATTTTTAATACTTAGATATCAAAAAATCTCTAAATAAGAGTAGATATATACAGGGTTGGCCATACAATAGACTCCATCCTAATTTTTGGAAATATTCATTGGAGTTTGTGAAATGCTAAAACAGTTCGAATTTTATTCCAAAGGGGTCATCTTTTAACAATCTAGATATGTCATTTATCAAACTCCTCCCTTCCAGTACAAAAAACCTTTAATTTTAAATATAAAATTATAATAGTGGTATATCATTAGACAGGTATTTCTCTTCAGAATTTAGGAATCCATGAGTTTTTGAAGAGAATACTTCTTATCGGTCGGTATGACGTTTTGTACGGACCAGAAATCCTATTTAGCTTGACTCGAAAAGTCCAGGCGTGTGTAGAACATTCGGGTATTACATACATAATACACTTATTAAAATTTTATATAATTTATTTTTTTTACCACGAAACGGGAACGACTGAATTAATTAAAATTATAAAAAATTGGAAAAAGTTAAAAAATTATATATTATATTTAACAAATATTATATTTTTATACATTATATCTAAAACGAATTTTATTAAATTAAAAAAAATAAATATCAGTATAAATTTAATAATATAAAAGTAAATAAAATTAAAGAAACTTTATTGAAACAATTATAAATGATTATAAGATACAATAATAATGTAAGTATATGATTAATAAATTCTGTATATATATATATATATATATATATATATATATATATATAACAAATTTTGAAAATTACTAAAATCGTTAAAAAAAAATTTAAAGAAAAAAAATTAAGATTTTTTAAATTTTAGAAAGATTAATAGAAAACTGAATTAAATGTAACTTAAATAACACAAAGTTAATTCCATACTTAAGTCTATTTTTTTTTAATAAACCCATCTTGCTTGCGATTCAATAAAATCTCTTCGTCCAATCCATTGCCTAAGAAGCCGCTCATTACGCCTCACGTTTATGCTATAATAAATATAGAGGTGCGCCGTCTTGTTGGAAAAACAAATCATCTTCTGAGGGTTTGTTATCATTTACGATTATATCTGTAATTTTTTATTTTCATCAGCCCAATAACGTCAATTGTCTATTTAAAGTAACATTTAGAAAAAAGGTGGTACAGCAAGCGGTACGGTAGACTAGCGCGAAGCTGCATACTACTGTTTCTGTATTTTTAAAATCTAAATAATATTTTTAGAATTAAAGAAAGTAATTTTATTATTTATTTATTATTTATACTTAAAACAAATGATATTATATGAAATAAATTATTATTTTGTTAGCTCCTAACGCCACCTGCTAACGCGAAGACAAAGTAAACGTTGTTTACCTTTGACAGACCCGTAGACCCGAAGTCAGACTAAATATTAAATTAATAATAAAATGTAACCAAGTATCATTTGATAGTAAATTTAATAATTACAAACTCGTAGACAAAAAATATCGAATATTTTGGAATTTTCCAATTTTTTTGTAGTCACTATTATTTTAAAATAATTTTTATTACTGATGTCACTCATACAGTCAGCTAATGTACTTAATAAGTTTAAAATATTTTGAGCAAATATTTTTGCAAATTTAAAGCCTAGACGCTTTGACAAAGTTCCACGTCTTCTCCAAAATCATAAGGCTGGTCGTTTAGAATTCGCAAGAACACGTATTCAGTGGAATGTCGACAACTGGAAAAATGTTTTTTTTTCACTGATGAGACTACAATCCCATTATGGAAGCCAGATAGTCGAAACAACGTCTACAGAAGAGTTAGATAACGATTCGCCACCTGTAATTTCGCCCAGACCGTTGGTTTTGGAGCTGGAGACATAGTGCTTTGGAAAGGTATTAGTTCAGAGGGACGCACCGCACTTACGTTTGAAACATCTTGCAAGATCATGTTTTGCTATATGTTGGTTGTCACATGCCGCTGCCATAGTGAGTAATTATCGCGATGAGGTCAAAATTCGAAAATTGAATTGGCCACCATTTAGCTTGGATTTAAATCCAATAGAGCACATGTGGGATCAACTAAAACTCCGCAAACGGCAAAGAAACCTAGTTGTAAATAAGATAGATCAATAGAAATTGGCGAATGTAATGCAATGCCCCCCCTCAAGGATATGTCCAAAATTTACTTGCAAGCAGGCCCGAGAAGGATTCAACCAGTAATAAGAGTTAGAGGCGGAATACTCGTTACTGATGATGCACTTATTTCAATTAAAAAGACTTATTTCGCAATTTAAATTAGCATTTAAGTTTTGAGTAAAATAACCTTATTTATCTAACATGAAACATTATTTTTACATGAAACATGAAACATTATTTTTGTTGCAATTCTCTCCGCATAAAACCTTAAAATTATTCATTAAAAATTGACAAAATAAACTATTCTTTATAATAAACGCCTTAATTGACCAGAATTTATTTTCAAAAAAAATTAGAAAAGTCTAAAATATTCGATATTTTTCGAACTAAATACGACGTTTAAAAATAAAATTTCAGTATATTTTGACAGGAATGTTAAATAAACAATTAAGGAAATTAAAATTAGAAAATCAAAATAACAAATTATAGTCAGTGTCGATATTTTGTATAACGGACTCCCTCTCGTTACATAAATGGACTATTCCAATCTAAAGCTACCTGGACCAAAAATTGTTTGCTGTGACTGTCTAATAAAAATATGAAAATTCAATTTGAAATATTCTACTAATCTACTTTTTGTCCCACTTTATTACAAAAGTCCAACTGATAATTGTAAAAATCCGACATTGTATTTATATGAAATTATTTTAAAACGAGAAGTGTCATAAAAATTTAAACAGATAATTTAATATTATTATTAATTGGATGGCAATTATGACTTTTGTTAAGCAATAAATTCTTTCTTTCCCTAACAAATTAGCAATAAATTATAGCCTAAGTCTAAATTTGGCCTTATACAATGGATATGCTAACTTTTCCAGACATTTGAGACAGAACTTTGTATATACCTCGTATAATATATCGGAAGAAGTGGTTAAAGAAGATTAGCTAATTTGTGACTACTCACTCTGCAGGAATATATCATAAACTAGGTAATAAACAGTAGAAGTTGCAATTTGTGCTCTATATTTAAATCGTAATTTGCAATGGTGTCCGTAATTGAGGAAATCTTACAGTACACTAATAAATCTTGCCGTCATCTATAACTCATACATAATTAATACATAACAAATGCCAAAGGGAATTCCAGACCAGACCGAGTAGGCGAAATGTCGCCAATTTTCTTCAGTAATTAAGTCTCCAGCTATCACGTTTCCATAGTTACATAATAACGATTAGATACTTACATTCCAAAAACTTTTTAAAACTAGTCATATTCAAGTCTGTCCCCAGTAGTCGTAATAAATAAGAAAAAAATTAGTTTGTTCAGATTTACGTCAAATTAAACCGATTACTAATTGTTGTTTATGACACCCAAGGTATAATTGCTAAAGCAACAAAGCGGGTTAAAAGGAAAAGTATACGGTTTTGGTGATTATTTGATTATCTGATTGTAAAGTTTGGAAGACAATGTCTAGGAAATCAATTGTTAGTTTTCTATTCTCAAGCAAAAGGATGTGATCGATATGTGTGTTCAAGAAAATAAAATCAACAAACTATTTAAACAGAAACAACTTGACAACATCCGATCAGAATAGTCATTATTGTGTAATCCTGAATGTTATCTTTTGTTAGTTTTCTCATGAGCTACTAAATAACATGGGTTCCAAAATGTTATTTCGTCTTCGTATCCTCTCCCTGTACACATATGTATTAGATATATCAGGATAAAAATTAAGATAACATAATTGGAACTAATTAATCAATACACAAGCAAACGTCATCTTACCTACCTTATCTACAGCAGTTATAAGTTTACAATTGTGGTTAATTTCCATCATGTATTAATTACAAACGACTATGGCAAAAGACAATAGCGTCAGCACAGTAACATAATATGATAAAGTGATCTGACATTAATAAACGCCAATGATAAAATTGCCTGAACAGACACCAGGAAAAAAAGAAATTGATCGCTGATATGAATGACTAAAAGCCAAAGTTAATCTTAATCTGTACAAGATAAAAAACAGTATTAAAAGCAGAAAATGTAAATGGTACGTAGAATAACATACAAAATACCATTTAAAAGTCTGGTATAAAACTCTAGAACTTAAAAATAAGGAGTCATTCTATGGCTGGTTCCAACTACTTTTAGACGTTTTTCACTGACGACGGTCTGATTGGATCGAAAACGTTCTTGCAAATTTTTAAATCCATTTTGGATAATATTAAAATTTTTAATAAAAATTTTATAACTACCATTTTACAAAAGGAAGTTTTACTTCATTGTAAATTACCAGAACAATGGAGGAAAATTGAAAGTTGCGATAACAAATTTCGCAGCTTTAACATGTACAAAAAAAATCAATTAATTAACAAATATTACGTTAATCAATAAATGCCGCGACTAACTACATAGTAAACCAATATTTTTTTGTAAAAATTATTCTTTACTCATTCATTTCAACGCTTTTCTAATTTTTAGATTCCGTCCTTGTAGAACGATTTATCTTTGCCTTCAAAATATACTTCAGTTTTAACGACTACTTCCTCATCGGAACAATATCTCTTACCCCGAGGCATTGTTTTTTTAGGTCGGATCTAGACTATACAGTGGGTGCGGAAGCAATTCTAAGCCCAATTCGTACATTTTTCCGTCCATTGCCAATGTAGTAGTCGCTGTTCGCTCCTTTTTTCAAATAGTCAATGAAAATAATTCCTTATGGACAATTAAATCAACTCCCACCCAATGGCTTCCAGTATTAAGTCACATTCCACCTCCACATTAACGACGAGTTGACGCACTTACACGTGAATACAAAAAGATCATGAACAATATAAACCTGCCGATCCACTAAGATACCGAGGATGCACGATATACCCGTCTACGTTCTAGAAAACCACCAATGAAAACGGCAAGAATGATACATGAGGAGTTTAACATCACGAATGCATGGTCCCAAGAATGGAATGCATGGCAAAATAATATGCCCTGCATTAACCACAAGCCACCAGGTTTTGATCTTCCACGTAAAACATGGTCAACTCTAAACAGGATCCGAACCAGACATGGCAGATGTGCATATATGCTACATAAATGGGGAAAGAATCCGTCTCCTCAATGTGACTGTGGGAAGAACCAAACAATCGACCACATTATTGAAGAGTGTCCCTCAAGATCCTACAATGGTAGCCCTGAAGACTTCCTGTTCAGGACTTCAGAGTCAATTGATTATGTTAATAAACTTGATGTTTGTTTGTAACTATTTAAAGTTTGTCATATACCCATATTACTAGTGTTTGTAATTTTGTTTTAAATGTGTTGTAATTGCCATACGATAAATAAATTAAATAAATTCCTTATGAGTCCCAAATAATAGAGATGTAATAAAAAACTCTCCGACTTGTTCCGATTAAACATGTTCAAACAGCGCCGAGACTCATCAATTCCTTGTTGTTTTTACTCTGGTGTGAGAAAACGCGGTACCAATTTGGAAAACAGTTTTCTCATACCCAAATGCTCGTGTATAATAGTAAAAATGCTGTCCTTTTATAACTTTAGAGTGTCAGCTATCTCTTGAAACTTCACTTTGCGGTATTCCATAATACTTTTCAGCGTTTTTTCGATGTTTTCGGAAAAAACTGCTAATTTGGTCTTCCAGGCCTCCCAGCAACGGTGGTATCGGTAAGACCGCATTTGAATACGGTAATCACCGTTTAATGATTCTAATCGATGAAGAGGTTGCCAAACATTGCTCAGTTTGAACGATATTTTCCTATCAAATATCAGTGATAAACCACCACACAAAATTGCTTTCAATCCATTGGTTATAAAAATCGCTATGTAACGTTACATTTATTCGAAATCGAGATCTCATGGTCAGATCCGGGATTTATTGACCGAAGTAATACTAGAAAGCGAAGACATTATGGAATATCTTATAGACTGGCGGAAGTTATAAGTAAACTTACAGAAATAAAAGACAAGCTTTAAACTGAGAAGAGTACATAACACAACACTTTGCTGATAACTGCGGAATACAACAAAAAATATGCGATGATGAAATAGGACCGGAAATATTATTATTATTACTTTAAAAACAAATTAAAAATTAAAATAACAGAATTATTTAACAAATAAAATAAAACAAATTTACGTAACCGCAAGAATTGGACCGGACCTTATATGCTAAAATTAAATACTGTAGTAAATACAGATCAAGTACACAAGAAATTAGAAGAAACCGTAAGCTTAAATGCACTCGTAAATAGTACAAGCTCATCACCGCTATAAAATCAAGGATTTTGAAATATACCTAAAGAGATTTGCCAACTGACCGCTGCCTGGTCTACCTGCAGCCCGGGGAAGGCAAAGACCATAAAATGCTTGGAGACTGCTAATGTTTGCTAATCTGAAAGAATAATCCAAATCCATATGTATTTAATGCTGGTATTTGGAGATTCCGCGATTCTATTCACATCTACATCCAACTATGCGATAAGAAAAATTTCTCTTCATTTGCCTTTGTTCCTTCAACATGGATAGTGGGAACTCACATTGATTACTTTCTCAGCCAACGCGGAAAAGAAATAATTATGGTTATCAATAATTTCTTTTAATTGCGAAAAACTGGAATTATTTTTTGTAGACTTGTGGGACGAAAGGGTGCAAGGCTGCTGCAGGCTAAATAAATCACCATGTAAACAAAAAGTGTAACAGGTAAAAGACAACCTTTCGCATTAGAAATCAACACATTGGAATAAAAATGTTGGCAATGAGTTTACCTATCAGAAGTGAGCAGTTTACGGGTGTCCAAAAGATGTCTCGGTCTTATTTTATGGTATCGAGTCCTGGACTGTGAATAAAATCGATCTAAATCGCCTTTAGGCTTTCGAAATGTGCTATAGAAGAATTTTAAAAGTTTACTGGGTGGAGAATATTCGAAACTCCACAATACTAGAACGTCTCAGCAAGACTACTTACTGAGATCGCAAAAAGCATCAAGCAGAGAAAGCTGGAGTATTTCGGACATGTAATGAGAGGTCCCAAAGATAGGTTGCTACAAAATATCATGCAAGGAAAAACAGGCACACGCAGTCCAGGACGAAAAAGAACCTCATAGTTGAAGAACTTGCGAGATTGGTATGGTGTTCATACAAGCATGCTATTTAGGGTGGCAGTGAATAAAATTAAGTTAATATAGCTATGATGGTAACCAACATTCTGAAAGGACATGATACATGAAGAAAGATGTCAGTGACCAGTTTGCCGTATCTCTGAGGGTCAATAATTTTATAGGGCGCTATAAAGTGATAAGTTCGTACATGTTCTTAAAATGTAGTGATATAAAAAATGTTAAAAGATTCATTGGATTGAAAGAATTATTAATGCCAAAGTGCTTTAGCAGAGAGGTCCGCAAAAGGACTAAGAAGTCTTAAAAAGCATTAAAGAAAAAAAGCGAAGTACCTATTTATTATATCATCAGAGGAGGGAAGTACGATGTGATTAGAGTCAGTGAAGTGATATATTGTATGATGTCAAATGTTGAGAAAATAAAAAATTCCTGGCTGAGATATCTGAACGAATAGTACAACTGCATCTCTTTTTTCAGTGTGGCGACTCATACATTCAGAATAGCCGTCATTTTAACCTGCGATACAAGAGGAAACAAATCCCTTTGTATCTGAATTATATATACACAAGACCACACGGTGAAAATGACAATAAGTAAAAATTATCGGAAGAAACTGTTTTGTACATTTATTTAGAACTTCTTTGACGAATGAAATGTAACATTTAGACATATAAAAATGCGCTTCGCGTGTCTAAGACTAACCTAAATCTCACCAATCGTCAATTTCTTAATTGCAATTGGAACTGAGTTGAAAACATGAAAATCGTTTTTAGAATGACCAGTATCCAGTGCGGAAATAGCGGCAACAATTGACCTAAAATCTGTTAACTACGATTTGTTGCTGTACTAATAAACCGAAGCTGCCGTTGATTAAGATGGGAGCGCCAATAAACAACATACTGTCAGCGAGCGCCATCCTCAAAAAGAAGAGTGAACTTTATTTTTAGGCGTGGAGACGGTTTTAGGGTTGGGTGTCAAGGTGGACGACCTTATATTACTATTACTTCTCATCTTCTGGGTCACTATATATGGATTTTCAGCCGGAATACAGGATGTCGCAATCGTATTCTATCGTCGCAATCGGATATACGTTCATGGATAAGGGTTCAAATTAGTAAAACATGTCTTTTTTAAAACGTACATCCGTCATCAATTAGTGTTTCCCAAAGTTAAAAAGGGGTTGTTTTTCGTTTATTGACAATTCAGACAGGAAATGTTAACGAATTGAATCCATTTACAAATAAAACATGTATTTCCATGATGAAAGTATATAATATTTATAAATATAATCCGGGGAATTGGAAAAAATAAAGGGAAAAGGTAAAATAAACGGAAAAGAATAACATATTTTTTGCAAAATCCCGCTCGAAATATATGTTTCGTAAGTGACTACCATACCAGCTATTAAAAGTTCTGATTAGGAAGTGCTTGGTACCTTGTATTTTTGATACTTGTGTATCTATTTCTATTAAGTTTTGTATAAAAATTTACAAAGAAGCATAGAGAATAATGATTTACAAAAACCAAATGATATGGTAATAATTTTTGTTAAAATATGAAAAATGTGAGGAAGCAATAGAAGGTGATCATCTTCGGATTTTCAAACGTTATAAGGACCCAGCGAAATCCTATTTTCACTCTTCAGTATTACGCGAAAAGTGTCGAGATTAGCTGCAGATTATCTCAAGCTGCAGATTAGA